GCGGCTGCCAGATGAAAGAGCGGCGGGATGGAGGGTTTTAGGTTGATGGAGGAGAGGAGTTAAAAAGGAGTTAGCGTGCTGTCTTTGATGGGTGCTGGGACTTTAAACCACCTCATTGGACATGACAGATTTTAACTGAATGTTAATAGACCAGGTGTGACCTGGGTTTTAAATGACAGGTAAAAATAAATAAATAACAAAACAAGCAAAACATTTTCTAGATGACAAGAAAAAAAATGAACTTTTAGTTCATTTTTTTTCTTGTCTGTTAAAATGCCGTGGACGCAGCCCGGGCTTCAAATATGCTCGTGGCTCCGTTTGTTAGAGAGAAATGTTTACGCACCAAACAAAGAGCGAGCAGACAGACACCAGTTGTGTCATTTCTTCCCAGACTGGTTGTAATTTGAAATTATTGGCTGATGAAACCACAAGAGTCAGAGGACGGCCCCAGGAAACCAGAAGATACGGCTGTGCTCAGTTCAGTTCAGTTCAGTGTAGGAGTCACATGAAGAACTGGTCGTTGTTGGGAAATCCTTTCCAAACAGTCAGACTGACGAGGCTGGTGCATATTTTTAACAACAGTCATTGGGTGCTGGTGACACAGAAGTGACCGGTGTGCACCGTGTCCCTGACCCTGCACTCAGACAGACTCAGAATGGGAAACTTTGACCACAGAATATTAATGCTGCTGAGAGAGGAGAGGAAGAGAAAGGCAGATTAACGAAGGAAGGATCTCAAATTATTAGCACGTGTCCTGTCTAGACGAGTACAAGTTTGACCAAAACAGAGAATCAATGTAGTGTATTGTTCCCGTGACTTTTTCTTTTTTTTTGCTTTCGGCAAATGTTGGATGATATCAAACTTTTCTTGTTTGGCCTTAATAAACGTTTGCCTTTAACCCAAAACATAAAATTCCCAGGAATGTCTGAGGAGAATAAGGTGTGCTTGGCTGAGCAGCCGAGGTAACTCAGCCCAGGGCTCTGTGGCATTTTTTCCACACAAGGTGGACAGATGGGAGGGAAAGGAGCAGAACGGTGTAAATGTCACTTGAATGTGCTCTTCCTTTTAACCCAGTTCTTTTTTTTTTCTTCTTGTCATTGATGTGCAGTTGTTTTGTTTTGTTTTTTGTTTTTGTTTTTTCGGTAAGAGGCCCAGTCTAGGTGCACAGGTCTGGAGATAACGTGGAGGGAAAGATGAAGCTACAGTGACAGGTCACCTGTTCACACAGACGTGTTCAGATGTGGGGCAGATAAGAGGAAATGACGGAGAGATTTTCTCCCAGAGATGACAATGCGTCAGGTGGTCTACATTATATTTTCGTGCTTCGAGGTCGTCTCTGTTGACCAGGGGAATTCCTGGCAGGGTGATTTTTGAGACTAAAAGACTGAATCACATTGCCAGGGATTTCCAATGGTTGACATGAACAAACCACCCTCCGACCTCTGACAAAGGCAGATGCGCCAACATGCTAACTCACACACGGTCACACCCAATTTGCATGCACGCACACAAACACACCTATCACAAACAGATGTCTGTGTACGATCCTGGCTGTGCGGCTGCAGGACTTAACCCACATGTGAACAGTGAATGTCTGCCATGTTCACAGTGGTTAAGTTCTGCCACCACATGACTGCAGGCTACAGGGGGTAGAACTAAGTGGTGGGGTCACGGTGGGGCATTAAACTACTGTAGTGCTACTGTAAAAAGAAAAAGAAAAAGAAAAAGATGACTCACATGAAGATGACCTGAGCGGTGCGGCCGTAACCTTAGGTTTGAAGCCTCGGCTTCCCACACACACCGCAAGTTGAAGGTCAGGATTATCATCGTTCACGTTTCACTCACTGCCGTGCTGTGAGACACAGGTGCACCAGGACGGGTGTGTATGGGTGTAACCTGGGTGTAAAGCAGAAGGTATGACTGTATATAAGCTTCCTGTAATAACTGATAATCTGAGAAACTTGTTGTGTTGTAACTACAGTGAAAGTGTGTGTTCCTATCTCTCTCTCTCTGTGTGTGTGTGTGTGTGTGTGTCTGCTAAATGTCAGCCGTCTCATTAGTGTCAAAGACTGCTCCCGCTCCTTCGAGGCCCACTGTGTCATTTCATGTTGTCAGTCGTATCAGTCATTTACTGTAAATACAGTTTGGCTCTCGGGACCTTAGACAGGCTCTAGGTGTGTATGTGTGTTTTTTGGCATCAATTTTCCACTTGTCAAGAGCAGAGGATGTCACAATCAGTATCCATTTTATTGTCTTGTAAAAGTTAAAAGTTCTTTTTGCAGCAAATTTTGAAAAACGTTGGTCATTTTCTGCTGTTTCTACACAGACATCAGTAAGGCTCACATGTCTGCTGCAGTGTCCTTTTTAAGAACACGTCAGTGTGTGTGTGTGTGTGTGTGTGTGTGTGTGTGTGTGTGTGCCGATCACCTCTGTCTCCTCCTAACCTCCTGCTGGGTCAGTCTCCTGTGCCTGCTGTGCTGATAATCAGTGTGTGACATCGGCTGGCTCCGTTTCGCAGGAACAGAGGACTGGTCTCATTTCCTCACACACTCACACACACACACACAAAGTTTACACACACTCAGACACACACTATGACCTTAACACTGTTACTGTTATGAGTATGGCTGTATATTTATACAGCTGCTTTATTATTATATGTCTGTCAGTAACGTCCTGAACACATTCTGTCGTTCCACTGTAATAAAACATTTACATTTGGATTTTGTTATTTAAACTAGCTGTTTATAATGTTGACCACTGTGTTATTTGTGAAAAGATTTTTTCTAATTTAATTTATTGATTTGAGACACCGACTCATTAGTGAATGTTTCAATGTTCATTTAATGCTAATAAAAATAATAAAATTCTTTAGCAAAACTGACTGTAGTTTGTGTCTCATTTTGTTTTTCTTTTTGTATTTTATGTTTTGTTTTTGTTCAGGGAATCATTTGCTTTACCTTTAGACATATTTAAGACATTAGAAAGTTTCCTTTCTTTCCTATAATTTCCTTTCTTGCTAGTAACTATACTTTAGAAAATATAGTCCCCTGTTGAGATCAAATAAAAAAAAAAAACACTTCAGTGGGTTTGATTTAGTTCTCCCACATCCCCAAATCCAAATTAGTATTTTAGGTTTTTAATAATTGTTCATTATGAGTGTGGTGATTTTTTTTAAAATATATTCTAATTCATATTGTATGTTTTTTGTCACAAAAGAAACTGAAGGAAAATAAAGGTGTGTGTTTATGGTTCTACATCTAAACACAATATGTATTACTTCATAAAAATACTCAGTTAAATAATTAAACACTGCTAAATATTTTAGATATGAAACACAAAAATTACTACTTTTAAAAAAGACTGACACAGACTGCTCACGGGACTGCTTTATGTTCCCCTTGAGGTGTCAAAGTTAGCAAAGATTTAGCAACAATAACTAAAGGTTAGCCAATAATAAATAGACATATGTCCAAACATGCATTTGCTTTTTAAAAGATCAACAAACAGCCAAGAACAAGGGCCAAAAAGCTTAAATAAAAAATAAAAATGTTTATATTTTTAAAATGTCTATCATTTATTTGGGATGAGAAAAATAAAAGTGACTTGGGAATAATTAAATAATTAATTAAAATATAAAATAGACACATGGGGAGTAATCAAAAACGTAACAGGTCGTTAAATATTAAAGGTAAGAAATAACTAATGAATTAAAGAAGTTCCAATGACAACAAACATCATGAGGTTTTGTCAACCTGAAACTGCTGGCCTGAGGGTTTTCTCACTGACAGAGAGAGAGAGAGAGAAAGAGAGAGAGACCTTGACAGTTTGATGTGACTCAGCTAATCTTCACATGAAGTTACAGTGTTCAAAAGAACATCTGGACATCCTGTCGCCCTGGTGATGGTTAAGACAGGTCTTAAAAACACTGAAGAGAATGTGCTGATGAATAAATAGATGAAGGCTGAGCTAGCGCTCATGCGGATGTTTGGCTTTGCTGGACGGTTACCATGGAGACATTGACATGAGCCCGTCATCAGCATCAGACGGTTGCGTCAGAGGAGGAGGTGACGGTTCAACCAACAACTTCCTGTTTCTGATAAAAGCAGCAGGAGGCCCAGATAAAAATCTGAGCCATTCTACCGTCCAATCACTGCCAGGATCTTTCTGCTTTTTTTTTTTTTGTTCCCACTTTCGAACCTGAACATGTCGCTCTGTCCCACTCGGCCCCTCCTCACTCAGTAAACACAATAATTCATCCACCCACGCACTCTCTCACCTGCCGTCTGCTGCCGCCTGCCAGCCAATGGGTGTCTAAAGTGGACGTTTCCATGGCAACAAAACAGGTAAACAGAGGTGGAGATAAGGCGCTCACCTATACACACAAAGGCGAAGCTACAGTTTCAGTACAACCAGATAATTTGATGGAAATTTTGAACTTTGTATTTGATAAACAAACTTTAAACTAAAAGTCAGTTGTTTGGTACAGCCCGTCTGGACAGGAGGAAACAAGTACAGGTATTAAACATGAGAGGGAAATATCAATGACTGCAGTTGTCTGGAGTACAAAGTACAACCTCCAGAAACCTGAATACGACCTGCAACAGAAACCCCTCTGAACATGTACCCAGAGACAGTAACAACTGTTACAGGAAATTCCTATTTTATTTATTCATTTTTTTCTCTTTATCAACTCAAGAACTCGATACCTACGTACTTATGTAGCCACAGAGAGTACACGGGAAAAACAAAACGGTGTTTTAGAAAATGGACAGAAAATTCTACTTGTCTTCCACATAGACTGGAAGTTCCCGACTAAGTTCCACAATTAACTGACCAATGACAGTCCACTGAACATTACGTCAACTTTTCTATATATAAATGTAACAAATACACATTAAAAAAAATGTTCCTAAATAGCTCATGATGTCATTGGCTAGTTTCTGCTCCTCTCACATAATACACAATGTAACTTCCTTAATTGTGTAACATGCAGAAATTTCTGCAATGAATATTTTTCACACCACTTTACATTTCTGGAATGGCAGCATTTCTGTCAACATTTTTTTTTTTTTGAAGACTTGTTCATAGTGAATAAAAACGCCTACAGAACACAGCCTGAGAGACAATGCTCAGGGCAAAAAGGCCTACAGCCGCTTTGCTCTTTGAACATTTATAAATGACTGATGACAAGTCAGACAAAGAGGTCAAACCAACAATAGGTCAGACATCAATAAATCATCCTCCCGTCCTGGGTGGAAATCACACATTTGTATCTACGGCTCCTTGTGAGACTTCTAGTACAGATATGTAAATGTGCACAAATTATGTGTACTCCCCTCCACCACCACCACCACCACCACCCCACCCATCCAGCCCTCACAGGCCCACACCCTGCAGCTGTGCAGCAGGTCAGCCCTGCCTTCATCCCTTTACTGCTGTCTCCCGCTCCGTCTGGCTTTTTTGGTTCTCACCATTACGAAGTGACCAATCCAGCTGAGAGAGGACATTATTGTCATTGACCGCCGCAGCCCCGTGCATCACACAGTGTACTTATTGTTCCACAGCAGAGGAAGAAGAGGAGGAGGAGGAGGAGGAGGAGAAGGGGGCAAACACTGGCAGACACTGTCCGTACAGACGGCACACAGTAATATCATAGCGTGACTGCAGCTAATACACACACACACACACACACACACACACACACACACACAATAATTATCTGCCCTTTTGGTGATCCTTCCATTTAACACAGATCAAACGCAAGTTTCTATAGAGTTGAAAATGCACCCCCCCCTCCCCACACACACACACACACACAGAGCACTGACTGTTAAGAAAAAAAAAACATTCTCAACTGACGAGCCCTGAGTAAACATACACTCACGACCAGCACCAATAGGAAATGATATAAGAACTGAATGGGGGGAGAGAGAGAGAGAGAGAGAGAGAGAGGGAGGGAGACACACACACAGAGGCTGCAGATTCTTAGGAAAGCTGACCTTATCCCAGGTCCAAATTTCACTCTTCTACCTCTGTTTCCATAAAAGTAAAGGTCACATTTCCTACTCAATAAAAATAGACTTCAAACAAGTCGGGAAAAAAATAAGCGTCGTGAAAAAATAAAAAAAAAATACCCATGTGAAACCAAAACTACACAAATTCATTCTCCCAGGATTGCAGACCTAAGCAGACTGGGAATCAAACAATGACCCCGAGTAGAGGATATGAGAGCAGTGATTAGCCACAGGAAACAGCCATTCCCACAACGGCAGCATTACCATAGGAAACGATGTCTTCATATGTGTTTCTCTATTATGTGTGTGATTCTGCTGACAACAGACAGTCAGACCACAGTGTACAGTAAGACCAGAGTCTTTGATGAGCAAGGACGACAACAGGCAAAGACTTTGATGCTTTTTAGAAAAAAAAAATAGGACAAACATATGGATTTAAGCAGGAGCGTTAGTCTGAGGATGGATTTCTGTCTTTCAGCCATAACTGTGTGTTTTCCTTATATACATATTATATTACATATACAGTATATTGTGTAAGAATAGGGGTATATATATATATATATATACACACATATATACACTCAAACAGATATATATATATATGTAAATATATATAATTTGTGGGTAAATGTAGACACATTTACAGTCAGAAAACATGATAAAAATGAAAAAACATATTGCTATATGCCTAAAACATTAAAAACATTAAATGTTTTCTTCTGATACTTGGACCTTTTTTAATGCAAAGGGATTTTATCCTTTTACCCACCAACATAATTCTTACATTTGAGATGATCACAAAGACCCTTATTCTGACTCCCCGAGAATACATACTATATATATACATATATATATGTATATATATATATATATATATACATATATATATGTGACTGAATATAGTTCAATATGTCTGTACCTTCGTATCATTTTTGTTCATGAACGCATTTGGATATTTGTTTTCTTCCATGATTTACAGTTGGTCTGAATAACACTGTAATACAAATTCTGGTTTTAGATGATTATTATTATCTTTAACATTATTATTGTTATGATCATTTTTTTACCAACCAAAGTTCTCAACCTATAAGAGCTATAGATAATTCACATTATGTAAGGAGTCAGACACACACACACATTTGCGACAAAGCAAGTGTAATAGTGTAATAATATACCAGAGGGGAAAAAACCCCCCCTGATGTATTGAGCTGAGTAGGCATATATTTCATTTTTAAACAGTGGCATCAAATTTAAATAAAACCAAAAAAATACAGAAACTGAGGTAACATTGATGAAGCTCGTGTGCAGCTGAACTAAAATATGTTTAAAAATATAAATATCAACACAACTCGTTCACCTGACTGCGTTCTCTCTCTCCCTCCACCGCAGACAGCACCGTTAAAACCAGTTAAATTCTTGACAATCTCTCGGGTGCATGCTATAGCCTGCTAACGTGTGAGTTTCACTGTCAAGAAAGAGAAGAAAAAGTATTCGTGTTTTAACAAGTCAATAATGGAATTAAAGGCATTAAGGCAGGAAACATTCACCATGGTATTCCCTTACATAAGCTCCGACAACAGCGTGATGCTGCTTATTAAAGTTGCCAAGCAGTACGGGAGGGTGTTGGGAAAGTCAGCACATCTGTGGCTAAATATGAAAGAAGAAGAACCAGAGGGAGCAGCAGGTAGATTTGTATGACACAGCATTAAAATGATGGCCATTCAATCTGTTTCCTTGCTGGTGATTAGCTTGTCCGCATGTCGAGCGAAGGTCTCGGCCACAATCAGAGGGAAAACCAAAGAGGCGTCTGCATACACCTGGAAGGAAAGATCAGAAAAGCAGTGTAGTGTCTGTCACTCTGCTGTGTCCGTGTCATGTAAAAGTGAAAGTCAAACTGAATCTTCTTCCTGGTCTCCATGTTTGGGCTTTAAAGCTCTATTATGGAACACTGATCACCTGGGGTGAAACTGCTGGACAAACACTGCCGCCGTGAGGTCAAAGTAATGAACTACATTTTCAGGTCTTCTAAGCCTGTGTTTCTAGACACAGAGCGGTTAATTTCAAAACAATTTCACCACCAACAGGTGGCAAAGAGTGATGATTTATATTCAGTTTTATTGTTGCAATGTGCAACAAAAACATGAAGGAACATAGCACTGACATTAGCCTTGGTCTGTTTTTATCTAGTTATCCATTTATGTACCTTGACAGGACTGGCATCCATTCTGATCTTGCCCCAGGACACGGCTTCATCGGGTCTGGCTCCAGAGTCAGAGCCATCAAACTCCTGACCCGTGTTTATGTATACAGAATAGTCAGCTCCATTTCTCTGGAAGAAGAAATGAGGAGCAGTGTGTGAAAAGGTTTGATTCCCTCCTGTTGCTTTAACATTAGCTGTAAAATCGTACACTCCTACCATCAAGTTAGCGTTGGCTATATGGTGTTTGACCAATCCTCCTCCCAAAATGATCATTCCTGTCCGTTTGGCAAACACTGCCTGACTGTTCAACCTCCTGATGTCTAAAATAAAGGCCCAAAATCATGATAAACAGGAGGTTGAGATAAGAACAACATATTCGATTCTTTACCTTCAACTATGTCCAACACCAAACCAGGGTTTTTGAAAGAGTGGAAGTAAATCATGTCGCCCAGAGAGCCGTCCGTCAGGGCAGGGCTGAACACAGGGATGTTATTCTAGGAATAAAGAAGTACATGAACCAGCTGATCTAAAGGCAGAAACAATACTGCATGTACTCAACAGAAGATAGGCACACAAAGCTTTGAACGCCTGTTTATTTGACAAATTCTGTCTTGATTTTCAGACCAAAAAACCGAAACACACAACACGTGTACATCGGCACAAATAGTAAATTCCATGCAGGGGCCGAGTACAAATAGATCATCTTCATTTAAATGAAAATCCTTACCTATATAAAGTAGGACTCACCTTATATGCCCAGTAATAAACAGAGTCAGTATTATTGATCTCTTTTCCAAGACGATGGATCATTTTAGACGGAGTCCATCGAGTGCCCTGACAAGGAGCACACAAATTATAATAAAATTAATAATTACAATGACAATTAATGACATAATAACTATTATTATTATTATTATTATTATTATTACACAGAAACACACCTCTGCGTTCTGTTCCAGCAACATCTGGTCCAGGATGGGCATCAGCCAGTCTTCAAATTTACAATAGTTATCGTTGGGGACCAGCAGATTCCCTATTCTGCACACAGTAAAGACAGAAAAAATAACAAAAAGCATGACGACGTGCACAGAACAGTACAGTTGGGGTATAATTAACTTCAGGGTGGAAATGTAAGCAAATATTACTTATTTAAATAAAGCACACGTAGATGGTTCAACTCCCCTCTCCACAGCGAATATTTAATTAAGCTGGCGGTGGTTAATGACGTAGCTAGTCTTCTTACCAGAAAATCTTGTCTCTAACTTGAATAACAACATTTTGCTGACCTGTTAATCCCTCTCAGACGGAGCTCCTTGCCAGGTAGACTGAATTCCCCCAAGTATGTGTGAGCCAGACACTTGATCAAATCTTCCTCGATGCCACCAGCTGTGGTAACAATCACATCCACCTAGAAAAGAGTAACAGATTTTATTCTGATTAGCTTTGTACACACTTTACAATTTCCAATCAGTGATTTTTCACAAATTATTCCCAAGATTTTTTAATTTGGTATGTTTGTCTTTACATGCACAGTCTGTTGTGGGTTTGCCACAGAGAATTAAAAAAACAATGAAAACTTGGAGTATTCAAACTACCTAAAGAGTATGGCTATGTTCCAATATATTTTTCATGCTATACTTGTAACTGAAAAAAAAAATTAAATAAATAAAAAGAGATTTTTCTCATCTTCACCATTTTGTGTTCGACTAAATAACGGATGCTCTCTCTGACGCCGGAGCTGATGAGGTTTGAAGTGTAACCCAGGAAGATAGTGCAGCCAGTTTTGTTTGATGAATCTCCAGAATCTTTGGACTCTGTCTCTACGGGTTCAAGACGTTTCTCTATCTATGGATGTTGAACAGAACAAAACAGAAATATTTTGTATATTTTGAGTAAAATACAAATATATAGAAGCAAAATATAATAAAATTATACATAATAGATACATTATAACACAGCAATGCCTAGCTTATGTCACACATGTTTTTTATCCTAAATCATTTCACCTCTTAAAACACAATTCTCACACAAGCTCCTCTCACCATATGGTTGACTTCCTGGATGGCCTTGGCCAGGCTGCTGGCCTGGAAGCCTGTGGAGTGGTAGGATTTTAAAAGTGCATGAAGATCGACCCCCTGGTTGAAGTCATAGCCCTTGATCTTGGTCATGTCTTCTGGGAGGTCACAACTGCGCTTGAGCACAGCTTCCATAGCAACAGAGGGAGCATGGTCCGCCATAACTTCTATGAATCAAGATTAAGAAATGAAAACCAAAAGCATTAGATGTATGCTCGAACAGATCGACAAAAAAAAAACCATTCCTAATGAAGCGCAGGAGTTTGCGTTTACAATTATGCAAAGATTAGACGTCGTGTTTGTAGCACCGACTGCGATATATGTTTTTAACCTCTTCTATCATACTCTTCTAACCTACCAGGGGCAAAGGCTTAGAGCAAAGTAGTATGGAGGATAAAAACGCCATTTTGATTGTTATGTGTCTCGAAAATTTTAAGTGACAGTTCTGTCACTGGTCAGCAACATCATAACTAATCCTAAATTTCATAAAAAGTGCTATCTATCTGTCTGTCTATCTATCTATATGTATATCTATCTATCATGGCAATATAAAAACCGCGTCCATGTGAGGAGCAGAAGCCGACTTCGTGCTACCTTCCTCATGTCAATAAAGGATGAAACGTGTAAATAAATATACAAACCTGCCAGTTCCAGGAAGGACGTCGTACAATGCAGATGTTTGCGTTTACAAACGGCTGTTAGTGGATCGGAAATACGAGGACTGAAATGTAGTTTTCTGTAAACATTCCATAAGTGACTAAGAACTAGTGCTTCAGCGTGCTCCCACTACGGCGAGCGACAAGGGGAAAACCTCGCAAACCACGCGAGATTCCGTCTCTAATTTCGATTTTTAAAATAATAGTACTAATTTCGGCACGAAAATTACAAATAATTTGTGGTATCTATAAAGATCATGCATAATACAAAACACACATAATAAGAAATATATTCCCAAAGTGTTTGGTATTTTGTTGACAAACGCGCAGTTTGATGACGACATTATCATGCACCGGATATTATTTGTTTTCCGAAAGTTGACCATAGTGACGAATGTCAACAGTGTTCTCACATTGTATTTATTATATTTTTTTTTTTATAATTTATTGTGCTAATGCATAGCTAAATAACCTGAAATGTAATGACAGAACGGAGCAGAGATGACATTGATGACAAGGTGTGTTAAAATGTTTTAATTAAAAGCTAAGGTTTAATGTATTAATAGACGTAAGAGTGTCTAATATTGTGTCCTTTGCATAATTTTAAAGCTTTCTTTAAGCACCTCTCGTAGGTCACGTTTTTCATAAAGAAATTTATTTCAAATCCTTTGAATTTACTCACATAGCGGAATTGACCATCAAGTCGCCTTTGACAGTGACTTTGATGTATTTGATACAAACACAGTCATTAAAATACGGTATGAAGCAAAGTAATGCATTTAAACATTTACATTAAATTAGTTCGTTTAGGTACAAATGCAGTAAAATAGTGTTGGCGGGGTGTAAAGTAATGAGTTCAATGTTCACATTGAATGAGTGAGTAGTTTAGAGTTTGTTTGAAGTCTAAAGTGATGTCAGAAGTCAGGACAAACGCGGATATAGCTGGGGGAATGACCAGTGTGGAGCAAGGAGGACCAGCTCAAGATGAACCTTTCAATCCTGATTCACTGGGGTAAGATTTCATTTAGGTCCAAATTGTTTACAACTTATAAAGAAAAAGTTATAGTTGTCTACATATGTCATTCCAGTATTCAAGATGCTGGCCACCCGTCTTCAGCTGCTGCCAGTCCCTCGCCTTCTGCTGAAAGTGGCTTGTTATCATTACCATGGGAGTTGGTAACCCACATTGCTTCACACCTTCCTGCTCAGTGTGTCATCTCTGTGCTGCCACAGGTACATTGGGTTTACAGGATTAAAATCCCCTGCTACCTAAAGAGCCTATTCATTTTTACATGATAGACCCCAATGTCCAAAACTAATTGTCATTTTGAAATTGTTATGATACAAGATGTGCTTTCATTTACAGGTCTGTCAAACTTTAGGCAATGTTGGTAAGGACAGTACAGCTTGGCAACTCCGAGCACGCAGATTAACAGGATCCCAGGCTCGTTTTCCGGTTGGGCCAAGGGATGACTTTGATTGGCCAGTTGCTTGCGTAGAGATGGAACAGCTGACGACCTGCTGGACAAACCATGCACACCTTTTGGCCAGAGAGAACCAAGAAGATAAGGAGGACATACCTCAAATGAGACAGCAGCAAAGGGAAGGTAAAGATATGGAAGTGAATCCAGAAGATGATGTCAGACTTGCTGAGGAGGAAGAAGGAGCAGGAGTGCTGGCATTGGAGGCTGCATATGGTGCTGATGAGGGAGTAGATGTGGCAGTAGAAGGTGAGGATGATGAAGTACAGCCTATTGAGGGTGAGGACCAACTAGCAAGTCTGAGAGATGTCTTAGAAGTAGAACGGGACCACAGAGTACAGTATGATGCAACTGACGGAAACGACGCTGCTCCTAACCATCAAGAAGACATGGTGGATCCTAGGAATGAAGGTGACGGAGGAGAGGCAGCTGCAGGGCATTATCAACCTCCTCGAAGTCCCAGTCCACCTCCAGCACTGGAATGCTTCACTGTGCACACAGACCACATCGCCCAGGTGAACTCTGTTTTTCTTTTGGGAGATGACAGAAATGTTTGTGCCACTGGTTCCAGGGACTGGAATGTGAAACTCTGGGATCTGAAGGCTAAATCTCGCAGTGCACCACTGCAAACCTTGGGAAGTCGGGGCAACTATAGCACTCATCAGGGCTGGGTCTGGTGCCTGGCATCTCAGGGGTCAGAGCTGGCCTCAGGTGGATTTGACAGTACAGTGAAATTGTGGGACCTTCAGGCAGGAGGAGCAGAGAGAGGTGTGATCAGAACAGGTGCTGCTGTTCTCTGCCTGCAATATCAAACAAACCTGCTGCTCGTGGGGGCGTTTGACAAGAGGGTCAGCATGTATGACACCAGAGGTGAGGACTAGACACAAATAAGGTGTGTGTATATAAAAATATATTTATAATGTTTTTAAATGACTTGCTTTGTCCTTTGACTTTTTGCTTATATTAATAATAAAATAGCTGCATAATTCTAAAACTTTTTTTTATATTATATTGTTCCTAGTGGCTGAACCTCTGGTGAAAAGTGTTCGTCTCCATAGTAACGCTGTAATGTGCCTAGCTGCAGACGATAACTACATCATCTCTGGCAGTAAAGACTGTACAATGGTTGTCTATGACTGCAGAGCTGACAAGATCTTAAAGAAAATTCGGGTATACACACACACTGATACACATGCTTTGTTAACTCACACTGAGTTATTGACTCTTTGAGTTCTGACAACCTTTCCATCTGTAGCTCAGGTCCTACCTGCTGTCCATGAGCTACTGTGGCAGTGAAGTGTGGGCAGGAGACAACAAAGGCATGCTCCACTCCTTTTCCATGCAGGCAGGAACCCTAAAACCTCTCTCCCGTTTCGATGTGGGCCACACAGCAGTGGTCACTGGTATCCACAATTCCCCTGGTGCCCTTTACACCTGTTCATCTGATTGCACTGTCAAGGTGAAGACACTGACCTTTTCACCTTTTTACCCGATTCTGCTCCAAAATAACAACTTACACAAATTCTGTGATGCAGGTCCACATTCCCTGTGCCCCCCCAAGGACATTATGTACACTGCGCCACCAAGCTGGAGTCAATGGGGTTAGTGGTTTCTTGCAACAGCCTTTTGCCAGAGACAGTTGTTGCACTTCTACCATTTATGTTGGAGTTTTTGAGTTTTGTTTGTAAATAGATGTGTGATGTACTGCGCTGTAATTTACTTACTTAGCAGTGAATCTACAATTAAGTGAATGGAAACTATGATATATTTTTTTGGAGGGGTTAGTTTTCCAACTTCTGTGTTTTTTATACGTTGTGTGTGTGTAGTAATTTTGTTTCTCTTGTTGAATGACCTACTGTGTTTCTCTGAACCCTTCAGCTGAGTGTGAACGCTGGAGTCCTTGCTGTGGCCTCAGGGGACATGTCTGTTGAAGTCTGGAGACCCAGAAAATGAAGAGCGGCGGCAGTCGGCAGAAAAAAAAACACCCCAATGGTTGGAAAAACACAAAAATAAGGCTGAGTCTTTAATTTGGTCCTTACTGACCATGAACTGATTGTGTTTCTCAACTGAAGCATGTCAGGATTCTCCTGTATTCTCCTGTATTGAGAGGTTTTTAATTTTCCGTAACATTTCAGACTGAAGGACTCGACAACCAATGAAGAATACTGTATAATCATAAACTTCACCTAAGAATCAGTTAAAGTGAACAAACCAGAAATTCTAAAAAAGAAATACCTCCCTTTGTGTGCAATACTTGTAACCAGTATATCTGTGACATAGTTATTGTATCTTTGTGTTGCTCTGTGTGCAGATGCCTCATGTGTTCCAACTATGAAATGGCTGCATCAGTGTGAAGTAAACTACAAAACCAAACAGATGTTTCACTGTGCTTTCTCTGGCTTACCTGTCCTACAAACACAAAACTAACAAAAAACCTTTGTCACGCTCAAATTATCGAAGCCATTTATCGACATGAACAATAAGTTAGCATTCTGTTGCTTCAAATGGTTAAATGATACTGCTGTTCCCCCAGAGCAGATGGTGAAGCTTTTGATTTTTTTTTTTACAATGTTGGGCAGAAAAACAAGATAAGTCCATATTATACACATAGTGTTTCTGTCTTGTGTCGTTCGTCCAGTTCCAGACTCCTAGAGCAGCACACAGGTCTTCTTGTCTTTAAAAGGATTGGACGACGCAGCGATGCCGACGAGCAGAGGGTCACTGCGCCTGTGGTCCTTGCAGTACTGGACCAGGTCTGCAGCTGTCAGGGAGATCTAGTGGAGCAAAGGTGCAGAAGGTTGTTCAAGTAGATTTAAAAAATAATAATAATCGTGTCTATGTTGATGTAAAAATCACTGAAAACTATTTTTGCCCTGACATTGGAAACAAAACTTTTCACCTGACATATAACATACCTTGATTCTCTCCATGCTCGCCTCCAGCCGAAGTTGATCTACAAGTTTTTGTGTTTGAAGGATACTGCTGCACGTCTTCCCTGACATTGTCGTCGCGGTGACACACGTTGAGATTCTCACAGCCCGGACTCCGTGCACGTCTGTAACAACCAACGAAGCTTGAACTCAGAGCGGTAGTTGAACTCCTCCAGAGACTCAGCTCAGGTTGTGCAGCAGATGAGTGTGTGGTCAAAGACAAGCCACAGTGTCCACGGTTGGTTCACAGTTGCTGGCGGTTCAAAGACTCTCTGATGTGAAATGTCACAGAAATGTCACAAACATCAGAGAGATTATTTACCAGCCGTTGATAATGACCTAAAAGAACAAAGTGCTTTGGGGGGCACTTCACAAAAAAAATCATCTGCTTGTATTTGTTTAACTGTGAATGAGTAAACAAGAGCATGTTATTTAAGACTTCAAGACTATTAACCCAGAACATAATTAGAGCTGCTGTTGGAGTTCATCTCTGGTTTAACTCGTTTGCGTTCATGTTTCTCTTTGCAGGACAGGATTTTTGGACCGTGAGTTGCTACAGGCGGTAACTGGGGGACTGTAAGTGTGGTTTATGTGGTTGACATGGTTATGTGCAGTACTGTACAATAAAAAGGCATTTCAGATCAGATAAGATAAGAAACAGAATACTGCAGTATTTCTCTTAACACAACCAACATTTTATATACCTGTAGATGTTCTGCTACTCTTGTCTCTAGGTTTCATATATTCTGAAACTGTGCTAACTATTACATTTAAACAAGTCTATGCAGTCTGAACGTATATAAGCCCTAAACAAATCACATAGACAGACAGAAATAAGAATACTGCAGTGTGGAAATTGTAAGTTTCTCCTTTATTGGTAGCAATGATCACAATTAACACAATACAAAAGAAGTACTTGATTCAAGTACATATATCATATGCCTGAGTCCTCTGTCTTCTTATCAGCATGAACCGCAAAGGTTTCTGCCACCAGCAGGGGAAAGATCACAGTTGCATCTGCAAAAATCTGAAAAAACAAAACAAACCCCCCCAGAAAATCCACACCTGTTAGTTTTCACTACTGCCATCTGAACACTGGGTGTTTTCTGAGGTGGTAAATAATTTTCAAAAATCAAGTGAGGTCCCAATACTTCCTGTGACCCTGTAAATATGACTGACGGCAGCTCTTTTTTTCTGTGCATTGTCAGATTTTAATATTTAATACCTTCACGGGCTTGGCGTCAACTCTAACTTTTCCCCAGGACACCGCCTCGTCAGGTCTGGCTCCAGAGTCACTCCCATCAAATTCCTGTCCTGTGTTCACAAACACTGCATAGTCAGCTCCTTTTGCCTAGAAGAGAATTGAGATTCAAAAACCGTTGAATGTAGATGATTTCATAATTCAGGTTTGTCGACAGAGATGAGCTCAGGTGAGTTCCCAGCACAAGGTGAAAACAACAGGGTAATGTACTTGGACCCTTAAAGTAATGGTGATTGGAATTTTTGCCCATCACCACATCACTAATTCCTCCACATTCCCTTACTGTATCTGTAGTCAGTGACATCAGGTTCTTCTAACATGACATACCTCAGCAGTCTCAGCAGAAGGCAGAGCTCAACTACAGGCATGTCCAGTCAAGCACATACATTTTACAATATAGCCTTAAAACCGTATATTTGAGGCGCAGCAGTAGTTCTACCTTTCACTCCAAGCCCAGGGAACATTGAGTGATGTGGGTTTTTTTTAACATTAAATTAATAACATTGAACACCATCAGAAATAGATCACACAATAATTACCCATGCATTAGCATTGCATGTATGGTGCTTGGCTAATCCTCCCCCCAGGACGATTATCCCTCTCTTTTTGGCATTCACAGCTACGTTAATGATCTTCGGAAAATCTGAAAGAAATACACATGCTTTAATCAACATATCAAAGTGGCGTCATCAGCATTACATGAGCATAGCATTTGATTTCACCCTCAGCTATATCCAGTATAAGGCCAGGGTTATGGGCTAAGAAGCAGTAGAAGAGATCTCCTATAGCGCCATCTGTGAGCGCAGGGCTGAACACTGGGATGTCGTTCTGAAACAGAACCGAGGTTAGAGCTCAGAAACTATAAAAAGAGTACCAAACACTTTTGGTTACTGTAATGCTGGTGTGAAACCAGCACTCACCTTGTATGCCCAATAGTAAATGGAGTCTGGGTTGTTAATCTCCTTCCCCATGCGATGGATCATCTTAGATGGTGTCCAGCGAACCCCCTTCATGAAGAGACATTACATTTGAATAATCTCTAGTGAACAGCCAACGTCTAATCTAAGATATAAAGCTGTAGCTGTAGAAGAAGTTTTTTCACCCTTAAAACATTTTTTCTAAGTCTTTGTCCCTTCAATTTCAAACTTTGCACTTGACATGTATATTTGAATAAGTTCATTGTATAATAAAAATTACATTTTTTTGTTAATTTAGTTAGTCAATCAAAATAAATTGGACCTGGGTGTTTTGCTCCAGTAGCATCTGTCCCATAATAGGAATTAGCCAATTTTCCAATAGCTGGTAGTTTTGATCCGGCATTAGAAGATTACCAATCCTGCAATGTAACACAAGAAAACGTGTCATGAAAAGAATCAGTCACAGAAAGTAGCCCTATTATTTTCCTAATATATTATTTTTTTATTTGATGTTTGTGTGTGACAATAAATACAGCATTTGACTAACAATTTACCTGACCTGTCAAGACCTTTAGTATGTAGAACCTTGCCGGACAGAGCAAAGTCTCCGACGTAAACAGAACCTAAGCACTTGATCAAATCTTCCTCAATTCCTCCAGCAGTGGTCACTAAAACATCCACCTAGGGGGAAAAAAACACCACAATGTCAAGAAACACCTGCGGCTCACTGAAAGGATGGGTCACATATTTTACAAATATATTTCCTTCCATACCATTTTGTGTTGTGCCAGATAACGTATAATCTCCCTGACTCCACTGCTGACCATGTTTGAGGTATAACTGAGGAAGATGGTGCAGCCCTGCACCGAGGTCAAGGATTTGCCCTCAGCGTTTTGCACTGGCTCCTTACGCAACTCAATCTGTGAGTATGAAAATGAGATGAATGAGGATATGTGAAACTGTTGTCGAAATGATCCACTCGTGTCCCAATGATCTTACCATTTTTATGATTTGCTGAATAGCCATGGCCACATGTGTGGCCTGGAAGCCTGTGTGGAGGAATGACTGCAGTAGCTTCTGGTAGTCCACTCCTTGGTTGAAATCATAGCCCCGGACCTTTGGTGTGTCCTCTGGAATGGGTTCTGTCTCCCTGTATGGATATTTGTTTGAAGGGAGGGCCATTCTGTCAAATCAAAGGAAAACATTTTCACCTGTTAATTTAAGATTAAAATAAAACACTTTCAAGCTTGTATATCATTTTTTGGAGGTTGGTGATCACTATTTGTCAGTTCATGCAGGTTTAAACTGAACTAAACTTTTCAATGGAAATTTAACATTTCTGATAGATATTCTTATTTATAAATTTTTTTAATTATATTTTTATCAGTTAACTCTTAGCCAGAAACCGTCGGAATGACCCTCAATCATTTGAAGATGTCTTTTTGGTCAATACATATCTATGCAATAATAATATAATAATAATTTGTCTAAGACGAGGGACCAAAAACAACCTGTCCTTGTTGCTGAAAGACATGGAAACTGCAGAGGTAATAACACCTAATTGGTTGTTATTTAAATTCCAGCGCCCATGCACATGTGCAAAAGTCCAGAATGCACAGCAAGTGTAAAAAAAACATGTTGACATCTGCACCAAAGATTAACATATCACAAAAAAAACCCCACTGTAAACTGGAATCACTGTGGAACACAGTCAGGCTGGGAATGTTTTGAAGAAGATATATTAAAATAAAAATGTTTGGCAGTGTGGTAAAGTCATTGGTAAAATTACCTGTGCAGTCGTCAGCAGAAGTCTGTCACTGAAAAGCTTCTGAATTCTATTGGTGCCTTGGGTGCTTTTATATTTGTATAGAGAAAAACAGGCGTGGTCACAACTATTGAACGTTAAAAATAGTGTCGCAATAAACAAGAAAATCCAGTGGCCCTACTTAACTGCATTCTGTTTAAATCTATGGAAAGATCAGGCTTAACCACCTTACCTTACCTTAGAAATGTAAAGAACAAAAAGAAGCAATTATTTCAAAAACAACAGCATAATTAACCATTATAACTCATAATTAATAATATAAAGAATAAACGTCAAAATAATACTTATTTGTGAGTTTTATTTGTTATTATTACAGAATTTTTAATCACTTATATATGATGTGTAATAATCTTCTAGTTTAAATGACCTCATAATTGACTAAAATCCTGGCCTGTTTAGTTAAAGAACACACTGATATACTGGCAGGAATTGAAGAAAGGCACTCACAAAATCTTTTTCAACAGCCTTGATGATTGTTTTTTTAGTTTTCATAGCCATCTGCTGCCACCTAACAGGAGATGATATAATTGTTCTGCCTTTCATTCTTTCACAAGCAAAGAAAGATTATATGTTTTCAGCCCAATTTAGTTTTGGATAATCTTCCACGGCACCCTGGTGTGCCTCGGCACATGGGTTGGGAATCACTGTACAATTAGGGGCTCAATCTCGTCATACTCTCTCAGGACCAAAATAAGTATACGTCCCAAGTCCTGAGAATAGAACAAGCATACGACCTGGTTAGTTGCTGTAGGCCTGTGTGTGTAAAATAGATGGCATTGTCTGCATGTAGAACCTTTGGGTGAAATGATATAATAAGATGTACAAGATTAGACCTAAACCTTCAGAGAAACTTTGCTGCCATCTAGTAGAATCAACTTAAATTACAATTATTTATTTCAACGCATAAAACAGAAAGAATTAAATCAGTCTTTATAATACCTTATGGCCGGAATTAGTAGCTGTATCTGGTTTACGGGCTGTAACTTGACCATGTCTACCATATATAGCACTTTATGAATCCCTTGGGAGTTCCCTTTGGGAAGTTTAGATATATGGTGGTATGGTACATGGTGGGTCGAATTTTCCCATGCAGCTTGTTATGGCTTGTGAATAGATGGTTGGGCTTTCTGCGTAACCTTGAGGTGGTCTTGTATAAGTATGTCGCTTTCCTTCCAATGTAAATGCAAACCAAAATGGACTTTCTTTTGCAACTGGAATAGAGAAGAATGCATTGCTCAAATCAAATTTACTACTGTAAAGAATTTTGATTCAGGGTTTATTCAGCATCATTCAGCAGAGTGTGTGGGTCAGGGACCACAGGTCCTCTCTGAACGCTGCATTGTTCACTACCTGTAAGTCTTGTACCAATATCCAGCCGCTTGATGGTGCTGCTTTATTCACTGGAAAAACAGATGCGTTGCATGGTGAATTCTATCAGTATTCCAGCTTTCAAAAGATCCTGGTTGGTATTTCTGCTAAGAGGTCTTCTTCAGTTCAGTGAGGTGCTGTAGTATGTGTTATCTGATTGCCATTCCCAGTGAAGGCAGTATGCAGCTGAGGTGGCTATCACGCCCAGTCGTTGCCATGACATTCCTTTTTGTTTTGCTAATGGAACATGGGTCACCGTACTTGCTGCATGTAATCTCTCTGCTTTTTCTGAAACCTTGACAGTAGCAACAGCTATTATGTTACTGTTATGCCTTTTTAGTCGTCACAGCACACAGTTCTACATGCTCCCGTGTCACATAAGACACGTTATTCTTTGCCCATTTATTATCAGTTCAACTTCTGGTTTGCTTGGATCAAATAAGAGAACTTCGCCCAGAACTAATGTCTCATTTTCATCACCATGTTCTTCTGTTGGTTTCCTCTTCTCTAGTCACGCTCTGTCCTCTCTCCCTTTTGGTGGGGCTCTGCAGTCTCTTGTCTAATGTTCCCTTTTCCCACAATTCCTTCTCTTGACTTACTTCTGCCTCCTCTTGCTCCTCTTTCCCCAAATCTAAATCCCATCATCATTTATTTCACTGTTTTGTTTAAACACCATCTCCATTCTCGTATGATAATCATCACATGGGTCATTATCTCTTTGTCTAGTTTGGCCAATTCTAGTAAAATTTTCTGTCCTTCTAAATGCAACAGTAATTCTCCCAAAAAAATGCCTGCATTCTCTCTCTTAATTCTGCACTTTCAGGTTGGAGTGGTCTCTGAGGATTTCCTGTCATCAGATTCCAATCACCTTAACTCTAGCCCAGTCTTTACCTGTTACTGCCTGAATAACCTGCTGACCTTCAGCTTCATTCAGGCAGTAAGAAGTACTCCAAGATTGCTAATGCCTGGCTTTACTTTACGTTGATCCTCTTTTATCATAAACTATCTGCAAAAAAGAAAAGAAAATATTTTGTGGAATGCAAACTTGTACTTTGAATTGATGAATGAATGAATTGAAATAAATCATTTATTAAATAGGATTACACTTTGAGGATGAGTTGTGCTAACAATAATGATTAATATGTTTGGAATTAAAGGAATGAAATAATAATCAAACAAATGACCTGAAACAATGGCTGGAAAAACAATTAACCCTCCTAACCAAAAGGTGGCAGCAGTGCACCAAACGTGTTTGCCAACAACAAGAGGACAAAGAAAAGGAAAACAGAAACGGAAGAAGAGGACTGAGACATAAGTTTGTACATTAAACCGTTGAATGTGTGACGTTTATAGTAAATCTTAATACTTTAGACGTATACACGTCCGTATGTGCGTGTCCTCAATTTCGAATACATACATTTTCTTATAAAACTGCCCAGTGAGCAAAGCATTAGTACCAACGACCAAAGCTAAGCTATCTATATGCTAGTCACCTGAAGCTAATGGAAAACTGATTGAACCTTGTTCGTTATAGAGTTGTTAGTAAACTTTAAAATAAGAACCAACCGATTTAGGGTCTGTGTATACAGGTTGTGACCTTGTGGTTGTCGCTGTAGATACAACAGGACAAATACATACTTAGTTTTGATTGATAATTTCACTGCAATCACATTTACGGTATTGTCATTATTATTTGCAGGGTGTTTTAATAACACGTTCTGTGTGTACATTCGAACTTGAACGACCAATCATGTCCTCACTAGTAAGTATTGCATTTCTTAAGCGATCAAAATCGTTTTGTGTTTTTAACAAAACGAAATATATGTATAGTTATCAGAGGAAAAAACTGCGCTAAGAACATCTCTTGGCTGTCGTTATAGGGGAGCAACAATTCCTCAGCAACAGAATACACTGTACGAGTCCCAAAGTAAGTATAACTTATTGTGTACTGCATAAAAATCAGCTCAACAAATACAATCAGTACAGTACAGAACCTGGGTGTTTGGTTTTGTTGAACACGAACATTAGTTGACTTCACTTCTCACAAGTGGAACTCTAACCACATAACAAAAATGTTAATGAGGTTTATATCACCAACAATGAGGCACATGTGGTAAGTGTAGTAGTAATTTCTGTTTGTCTAATAGAAACACAAATAAGAAGTACAACATTATGGCCTTCAATGCTGGAGACAAAGTCAACTGTTCAACGTGGACTCAGGTAGGCATACAAATAATCACATATATATATATATATAAATGTTGCACTTGTTGGTAAACTACAAATACCAAGTGCCTCTTACTTATATTTGTAAATATGTAGGTATTATATTCTGTTTCAAGGCTCGTATGGAAAGAGACATGAGTGCTCGTAGGATATATGGAGAGGAAGAGACACCAGAAGGAGCAGCCGGAAGTGAGTTTGGCAAAAAGCAGCGTGAAGAAGCACGACGCAAGAAGTTTGGAATTGTGACCCGTGAATTCAAAGTGGAGGACCAGCCTTGGATTCTTAAGGTCAATGGTAAAGCTGGTAAGAGGTAAGAAGAGAGAAATTATAACTGCATTGTAACTAAGAAGACAGATTTGATCACTTTGTTTAATTTATTTCCAATATGTGTTTGTGTTAGGTTTAAAGGTCTAAAGAAGGGCGGTGTCACAGAAAACGCCTCCTACTACATCTTCACACAATGTCCCGATGGAGCATTTGAAGCTTTTCCTGTCCACGGCTGGTACAACTTCACACCACTGGCAAAGCACCGGACTCTTACAGCAGAGGAGGCTGAGGAGGAGTGGGGCAGGTAAGGAAAACAAGGAGCATTAGAAGTTTTTATACTGGAATCGTTCATGCTGCTGCTACATGTGTATCTAATATAAGGTATTCCTCTTTTTTCATAGGCGGAATAAAGTTGTGAATCACTTCAGCATCATGCTCCAGAGACGTCTTCGGGAGCATGAGCGTGGTGGTGGTGATGATGATGAAGACGAGAATGAAAAATCTGGGAAAAAGAAAAAAAGGGGGGGCGGCAGGGGAGGAGACTTGCGAATCCACGACCTAGAGGATGACCTTGAGATGAGCAGTGATGACAGTGACAGCAGTATGGGAGAGGGTATGCTGGCTAAACAGTAAAATCAGTCCACTTCCATTATATGTTCATTTACCAGCCCTCAGTCTCTGACCCTACTTTGCAGATGGTGAGAGTAAAAAGGCCAAGAAAAACACAGGGAAAGATTCAAAGAAGAAGAAGAAACAAAAGAAAAACGAGAGCGAGGCACTGGAGGACAGTGATGACGGCGACTATGAAGGCCTGGAGGTGGATTACATGTCAGACGAAAGCAGGTAAGACCCACTGTCTTGGGTTGAACAATGTCTTTATTGGACCAGTAAGGGGAGACATTGTGTAGAGAAATATAATAGAAAAATATACAATATTTTATACAGTAAGTTTTTTAAAACAGGATTATGGAACTGAACTATATAACTCTGTTTTTGGCTCTTTTATTCTTTTTTATGGATGTATTTTTCTGTCTGAATGCAGCTCAGATGAAGAAATAGAAAGAGGAAAGCCAAGCAAAGCAGAGGAACACCCTAAAGGTTTGATTGGTCTTGTTATAGACATGGTTATAATTAAAATGAACATTAATTCCAGGAACAGCTACACAATTGTTATAAACCTGTCCCCCAGAAAATGCAATAAAAAATATTTTCTCCCGTCCTAGGAATCGATGAGGCATCTGAAAGTGAGGAAGAGAGCGAGGAGGAAAAACAAAACGAAGAGGAGGCAAAAGAGGAAGAGGAAGAGGATGATGGGAAAAAAACACCTGTACAAATGGAAAAAAAGAAGAAAAAAGGTACCAGAATAAGATGATGTACACAACAGTCAGGTGTAACATTAGGTTCTGAGCTGACTTTTGAAAATGTGCGTGTGACAGACAGCAGCGGAGAATCTGACAGCTCAGACGACAGCGACATCGAGGGAGAGACGGCCTCGGCTTTGTTCATGGTAGTTGGATTTGAAGTAGCCAGTTGTTGTGATTGTTGAGAATTGTGAAAAAGTATTTCTGTGCTTCTCATATGATATTCAAAAGTCCTCCTTCTCTAACCCAACTCCCAGAAAAAGCGCACTCCTCCTAAACGTGGAGGTGGTCGTGGTTCTGCAGGCAGCTCCAGGACGGGCAGTCGTCCTGGAACACCCTCCATTGATTCTGCTGCTACCTCTAATACATTACGTGCTGCTGCAAGCAAGTTAGAGCAAGGTTTGTATACACAGTAACGCTCGGATGTGGTGACCTTTGTACAGGTATATGCCCAGTCTGTTAGTTTTAATAACCAGTGACAACCATTATCAACCTTTGGACTTGTTTGAGTTATAAAATTTCATTGTCTCTATCACGCAAATTGTTTTCATGGAGGCCCGTGAGTTAGGACGTCTGATTACTTAGTGACCTATTTCCTTTAAAATAAATAAATTCTACAGTACAGTTGGTACACTGGCTATATCAGCCTATCAGAATATTTAATTGACGTAGTCATCACATTTCAAGACAATTGTGCGTTAACTCACTTCTCTGTTGAACTCACGTGTGCGACTGCTGTAAAGCCAGGTATATAAACTACATGGTATGTTCACAAGGAAAGATTGTTCTGTTAACTCCAAAAAGGATCTATTTTTTTACACTTCCTTCTGTAACCTCAATTGAACCATTGTCCTGGTCAAATTTAGGGTTAATATTTATGTAAATTTGTGCCAGCTGTTAAACACTTCCTCTTACCATACAGGCAAGAGACAGACTCAGGGACCGGCGACAGACTCACCAGCTGCTAAAAGGCTAAAAATGGAGCCAAGCAGCCAGAGTCCTGCTCCTTCTGGGAAGAGTACACCTCAACCTTCATCAGGAAAATCAACCCCAAGCTCAAGGTGTTTTTTTTGTTTTGTTTTGTTTTTAAATGTTAGATTGCTGCTGAGCTCCTAGAACCACATCTTAATGTGCTGATCAGCAGGATCTTTGTTTCCAATGTAACAGTTTCTTACTGTCTATCTGTCTCTACAGCGATGTGCAGCTCACAGAAGAAGCAGTCCGACGCTACCTGATCCGTAAACCAATGACGACAAAAGATCTGCTGAAGAAGTTTCAGACGAAGCGCACTGGCCTGAGCAGTGAGCAGACTGTCAACGTGCTGGCACAGATCCTGAAGAGACTTAATCCCGAGCGCAAAAATGTCAACGACAAAATGCACTTTTATCTCACAGAGTAACTGATCAGGGGTGCAACACGACAACTAATGGCACATGGTAATACAAGACAACACAGTGTTTACTTCAGAACAATGGAAGCAATTGTCAGTGTTGAGGAAACGACTCACTTTCTGTAAATGTTTGTAACTTAACAGAAGTGTGTAGAAGAATTTTCTTAGATGTTTTTTTTTTCTAATAAAATTTGAAGCTGTAAAAAGCGGTTTGACAGGAAAAGGTGCATATTCCAGGCTTTCTGTTTGGAGTGTGCATGTCCACAGTTAGAAAAAGAAGATAGATTCAATAGACTTCAATTTGCTCAGTGAGCTGAACTCACACTGCAACCAACCACCCATAAATGTACACACACACGCTCCTCAACCTGTAATTACTCATCTATTTTTTGTTCTGTTATATTACTCTACATTTTATATCAGGGAGGGAGGCTGTAAGGGGCCAAAGAAGGCGTTGAATCAGGGGTAAGGGTGAGTGTCCCAGAGGAGGGGTGGAGGAGGGGGGGGCTCGGAGCATCTTGTCTGCATAAACATCCAGGAGAGTAGAGAGATAACTGTCCTTGAGAAGGCCGGTTATGTCTGGGAGCCAATGAAGATAGTAGATTGTTTTGGGACAGGGCGACGCTGGAATCTTCTGTCTGCCCTTGAATGTCTCTTGAATGTCTCTGAGTCTCCCGGTGGCTTGCTTCAATATGTCTGAATTTGGTGGCCAGATTCAGCCGAGCCGAGCCGCCAGCTTCTCCAAGTTGGTATCCAGTATGCGAGAGCGCTCGAAAACCGCATCCAGTTTGCGGTTGAGCTCGCAAATCGCTTGAGTCTGAGTGTTGGCGGCCCTGCCCCATCCGTTAGTCAGGGCGATCAGCTTGTCGATTGCCAATTGTAGCATCATCTTTTCTTCACGACGGAGCAGGAAGGTGCCCAGGCCAATCAGCAGAAAACCTGCCATCATAAATCCAAATAGGTACAAATCTTCGACATCCTCCACGGAAAGCACGGACAGGCACACGATCCTCCAGCTGTACCAGGAGTCCATATTATATATAATAATATTGTATCATATTATATTTATTATATCATCCCTGGCTAATGTGTTGGTCTCCTATCAAGCACCTTGCAACCACAATGGCCACTATCCATTAGTCTTCTATTGTCAGAAACCTGGATCAGGGTTTCTATTCACAAGAGTTATAAATGAGTCTGACTCCACAACAACAGTGTTCGAAGCACCTACCTTTGCTCTGTACTGTAGCTCTCAAGTGGTTATCATGGATGGATGGATAGATAGAAAGAACTTTATTATTCCCTCAGGAGCTCCCTTTGGGAAATTTAGGCTGACAGGTTTGTTTATGACCTGCCAAAAAGAGTGAGCATTTAAAAGTTTTATCAAATAAGTTACTTTTGTATGGTTTCTTTCTCGTCTGTCTGCCAAAAATCAAAGAGTCCTATTGAACTATTAGTTTGTCTTGTGTTCAATTCACTTTTTTTGTGGAGAAAACTGCACCAACTGGTCAAACATATTTGTGCTCGGAACCCACACACACAAAGCCTTGTATGGGAGGGATCCAGGTATATAAACAACCATTAGTCATTGACATCTGCTGCAGACTGTTAGATGGTTGTAAAAACTAAGTATCATAAACTGAGGTTGCTTCTTTAATGCTCTACAATACTGTACTCTCTTTTCCCAAAGATCAGTTAATGAAGGCATCTCAATCATCAGTCAAAATCATGTGTTCTCCAACTAGGTGATCATCAGACTGTCAATGTGGATACAAGTGCACTGGGAATAAGACAGGTGGCCTGATAACAGACCCATTTGGCTAAAGAGATATAATAAGAAAATTAGATGTTTGATTTGACGTGTTGATAGAACCACAGGTCGACAATGAATCTTTTCAGTATAGATTAACTGGTAAGGCACACAGGGCACAGGCCTTGAGCCAACAGTTATTTGTGTAACACATTAATGTTTCTCATACAAGGTGTAAAAAAAAAAGTGTTTGACGCATTTCTCTAGAAGACGCTTCATATCGGATTTCAGGTGGCGCACACGTTTTTCAATATGTGTGTCTTAAAATTTTTTTTCTGAAATACAATATGGCACATTGTTCAGTTTCATCACCTGGAGTGTTTTATTGTCACTGGCAGACTCAGGCTTACTTGCAGTAGTTCCTCTGCCTGGTATTTAACGCAGTTTTATAGAATTCACTTTTTATGTTCTGCCACAGCCCTCTGAGAGTCTCAAAGTCACGGGTTTTTAGAAATGCACATCAACACACATCGACAGGACTGAGTACAAACAGCCCACAGTTGTGCAGTTCTGCTCATTCTACTGAATTCTCTCTGTGTGTGAGTCAGATCCCTTGTGTTCTTTTATGGAGTAATAGGATTTTTAACTTGTGTTTATTACAGAATCAGCAAAATATGCAGTTACAGAGCTCTGGGTCAGATCTACGCATCACCGATAAACAACATAAGATGTCAGTTCACAAAGTCTGATTTCACTCATGTTATTCCTTTAATGATGCTCCCTCCATCCTTCAATATGTATAACTGTTTCAGGTAAAAGTTATATTGCCACACAGTGGATCAATCAGTGAGTCCCAGTGAGAAAAGCTTCTAGGGCAAAACGTTTGGTCCGGTCTCACTGCAGGGGTTAATTCCCAGGCTTCAGAGATCTTTTAATTCACATTACATCTTACCTCCACAGAACAGGAATCAGTATGACCCTTTGCCCCCGTAATCACACTTGATTTACACAATTTAAATGCATTTAAATGCTTTCATCAATCTTCAATTTTCCAAACGGTTGATTGAAGTGGTTAGAACTTCTTAATGAAGGATTAATAACCTTACATGCGTCGTATATTCTCTGGGCCCATAAATACCTAAATATCTTATTTTATTTTTTTCTTTTTGTACACGAAGATTACACAGGAATTCACCAAAGCAAAGCTAAACTTACCAAACCCCCGTTAACACCTTTTAGGACTCTATTGCGTTAAAATTAAAGAAAAAAGTGTGTGTTGCAGCTTTGCCCTATAACACAGCAGTGTTAGTACAAATAGCGTAAAATATTCCAATAGCACCTCCTGTGGCAGCATGTGTTAGTTGCTAAAATTCACACTAAAATCTTCCCTTTTTTAAAACAGTAAAAGTGACAAGGGGAGTAATTATATATAATTCTATGGGATATTTTCTGATTCTTGAAGTCTCAAGTAATGAGACCAAATTTCCAATGACTGTTGACAAAGGTGCATAATGGAAAGTGAGATGAAAAAAAAAATAGCATGAAATCCCAGATCACACACAGCAAAGTGGGACACTAGGGAGTCTCACTTTTTCTACATTTGCATAAATATGTTCTTCATGAAAAAAAAAAAAAGCAAAACAAATGTCAGAGGTGGAGTAATCTCTAGACTTGGAGAGGGCAGTGGGCGTGGTTCAATAGTTTCAAAAGACAGGCAACGTAACTCTGACTGGATCCAATGACATTCTGGCTCTGTCCTTCCCTCAGCAAACAGGTAAGGAACACAGAGGATTTATCATTTGGTCGAGGAATAAGGTTAATAGGAGCAAAATAGAGGTGAGTCTCGGAGGTGGTAACTGCATTTTTATCAGTGGCTCATAAAAATGTTCGATTTTTGATATTTCTCATAGGATTTTTCAAACTCCTGCTTACCTTGTTTTTTATTTGCATACTGCTAAAGACACCCGCCGTGTTGATCATTTACAATCCAGTGATCATTACATGGGTGTAATAGTCCAGATAGAAGACAATAAAGGATGATAAAAAAAAACCCAGATGTGTTCATCTATTCTCTCTATTGAGCATAGACTGTTTCACATTTAACTGTTTGTGTATTTTTATTTCTCTACTCTTTGTCCAATAGACAGCTGAACAATAAGAAATGGCCTCAAAGAACAAGGCAGGGCCAATGCGTGTTCTAGTGACAGGTGGATCAGGCTTGGTCGGTAGTGCCATTAAACATGTGGTCGAGGAAAAAGGTGAAAGCCTTGATGGAGAAGAATGGTTTTTTCTCTCTTCTAAGGATGCAGATCTGAGGTTAGTTCTTTTTGTCATGTCAGCGGATAGTTATAGTTATCTAATGCGTCGTTTCTGGCATGTTGGACCAGGGGTTGGGAACCTGTGGTTCCCTTTTAATGACTGCATGTGGCTCTTAGATAAACCTTAGCAGGTATACCTTAGCACAGTAAGTAATAAATAATTTCGTTGATCGCTATGACAAAAATCAGTGTTAAAATAATCTTTAAAACAAACATTTTCGTGTATTTGCGGCGGCAGCGTACTCATCAGCTCGGTACGTCGTCAACTTCTATTTCTGGCCTGAAAAGTAAAAACAATTTGAAAGTCAAAGACAAAGAAAGACAAAGTGAAAATCAAATTTTCGTCTCGCTCTAAAAAAAAAATAAAATAAAATCAATCAAATAAATCAAAGTACAGTTAATGATAAAATTAAGATAAATACCATTAATTAATGACGGACCTCCCAACATGTACACGGACATCAGGACAGGAGCTGCTGTCCGGGGTTCACGACTCTAATCCGATAAATTAACATTTTTACTTACGAGGTGTGTAATAAACTGTTTTGTATGGCAAGTTGAACCATATATTTATAACTCCGTTATACATTTTAATCCATACTTTTTTTGCGCTGCAGCCGATCGCAATAATGGTCAGAAGTATTTATGCATTGGACAGCAAATGTTAATACTGTTTTAAATTCACACATTTAGTTGTGTGGTCAGCAAAAAAAAAAAAAAAAAAAAAAAGGCTCTCAAATATGTGACTCTTTTGGCTCTCTCTGCTAGAAAGTTTCTCGATCCCTGTGTTAGACTGTCAATCTAATTGTATCTCTTACAAACGAATTATTTGTAGAGGAAATGAAGTCTAATCTTTCGCTGTGAAAGCGAATGAGACCTTTCTTTTTTAACTCTATTGTTCAAGAGAACAAAAGAGTCTTCGCAGCCACAACACTGGTAGAAAACGTAGTCCCATCTCTCACTGACACAGGTACGGCAAACTACTTTAACTCTGGGCTTGTGGAAATCCTGGATGATTTCAACAGTTTTTCCCCCACAGCACAAAGGTTAGGGAGCAGGATCGAGCACACACACACACACACACACACACACACTTTCTCGCCCAGGTCACATTTACAGCCCATTGTGTAACTTGGAAGGTGAAACACACAGATCACATTTACAGCCTGAAAAAAAGCCAGTTGTCAAACCTGTATGGTTTTGCTTCTCCTGCATCTACCACAGACACTAAAGTCTTTATCAAACTTTGGATAGGGACACTGAGCAGACCAGAGCTGTGTTTGAGAAGTATCGTCCCACTCACGTTATCCACCTTGCAGCAAAAGTAGGAGGGCTGTTTATGCACTTGAGGGAGAATCTTCATTTCTTGGTGAGTTGTTTTTTTTTTTGTTTTCTGTTTTTTGTTTTCAAAAATGTGGTGCTCTCAGTGACTCAGTGTCCACAAGTGCACAAATGAAAATACTAAAAAAATAGTATTTATAGTAGAAATGGTACCGAGGAGCTCTGAACCGTTTCAAGTCAACATTAATTGGCCTTAAATCCATATATACCCATATCTATGCATTTAAACTATCCATAGAACAGCTGCAGTTTGCACCTTTTGCTGCTCCGGTATAGCAGCAGTGTTCAGCATGTTTGTGGAACACAGCATTTTGAAATCCAAACCAGGAATCCTACAATCAGACACTTCTGATCCTGTAACTCGGGCTGCAATAATAATAAAAAAAATCCTACTGTGATTTTAGCATGGTTTCCCTCCCTCCTTTCCCACTGACCTTTGTCTTTACAGAGGGACAACCTGAAGATCAATGACAACGTCCTGCAAACGGCCCATGAGATGAATGTTTCCAAGGTGGTGTCTTGTCTGTCCAATTGTATTTTTCCTGACAAAACCACCTATCCCATTGATGAGACTATGGTGAGCTGCTGGACACACTTACCACACCCCATAGTTTGCTCAGGTGCTGAAATGTGTTGGGAATCCTGTAATTGACATTCTCAATACTTTTTTAATGTTTTAAATTTTACCTTCTTAGATACACAACGGGCCACCCCATGAATCAAACTTCGGATATTCCTACGCTAAAAGAATGATTGATGTTCAGAACAGGTAAAGGCTTGTTCAGGCAAACAGAGGTGTGTAAGCTGACATAGTTAGCTCAGGTTTAGCACATAATCCTCGTTGTTCATACATGTTTGTCGTAGAGCGTACTTCAAGCAGTATGGACGATGCTACACCGCGGTCATCCCGACTAATCTGTTTGGCCCTCATGACAACTTCACTGCAGAAAATGGACACATGCTGCCAGCCGTCATCGGCAAGGTGTACAGAGCCAAACGTGAGCAAACGGGATCTTATTACCCCTCGCAGATAACAACCAGGTAGATTCATTTTCTTTGTTTGCTCCACAGAAGAAGGAACTCAGTTGAACGTGTGTGGAACAGGGAACGGCCGGCGACAATTCACTTTCTCTCAGGTAAGGTAATTATGCGCTTGTGCGAGTTTTTTTTTTCATTTATACATATAAATATATATATTTATATGTAAAAACGAAAAAAAAAACTCGCACAAGCGCATAATTACCTTACCTGAGAGAAAGTGAATTGTCGCCGGCCGTTCCCTGTTCCACACACGTTCAACTGAGTTCCTTCTTCTGTGGAGCAAACAAAGAAAATGAATCTACCATAGAGCTTTTGATTCACCAAAATGATCAATTTTTCCTGTTAATGACCAGGACCTGGCTCGTTTAATTATTTGGGTCCTCAGAGAGTATGAAGAGGTGGACCCTATTATAACCTCTGGTGAGTTAATAACTCTGCATTGGCCTTGATACATCTGCACCCGGGGAAAGGTTTTCACCAAGCAAAGATTTAGGACGTCATCGCTGAATGTGCTAAAAAGATGAGGGGAGGAGATGAGACCTGAAGGAATCAGAATGCTCGTAAAATCCTTTTCCCAATGTCTGCATTTTATTTAAACACAGAGTTTGAATGATGAGTCACATCTATTAAAACTGCGGTCTGCAAAGTAGGGGCCGGTCTCCACGAGGGGTCACCTGGCTATCACAGATGGTGGATGGGGTAGGCATGTAATGCACCTGATATAATTTGTGTGAGAACACCAGTACGTTTATCCAATCACTGACTTGCATTTGTCCCACATTTGCATTTATTTGTTATTGTAATACGTCGGAGGAACACAGGAGCTGTGACTGTGTCAAGTTCAAAAGTGCTGCACAAAATCTTTGGTAACCACTGCATTTAAGAGACTTCATTTTGAACCTTGCATATTGAAGTTTAAACATTTCCTTCTTCTAATATTCTCAGACGAATAAATGCAGTAAACAAGCTTGTCTTGATGAGAATTCTGTTTGAGGTTCATCTCAGTGAGTGGGAGGGATCAGCCTCGGCTGCATGGTGCTGAGAAGACTTGAAATTTGTCCTAGAGTGTGTGCCTTAATGATAACGCTAATTGTTAGAAAGTTAGTAAAAAGTGTTTACAAACCCTTTAATCCAGAAACTCATTCTAACAGCAAACACTCCTCAACCACTAATGCCTGCGAGTAATAACGAAGGACTATAATATAAGGAAACAAATGAGGAAAATACAAATGACGCATGAATATGTGTGTGAGATTGAGAAAAAGACAGAGAGAGAGAGAGAAACTAGAACTGTTAGAAAGTCTTGTAACTCTAGTCTTGTGTGTATATATATATATATATATATAAATATATATATATATATATATATATAATACTAAGTCGATACACATGTTATTTGTATGAACTGTGGGAACCTTATAATGCCAGGCTTCATCTTCTGGTCAGACACGTCAGACCGGCCTCACTGAGCTCAGGGCATTAATGGCTGTCAGCTTGTCAGCTTATGGCACAATTGGCAAATGGATTGAGGTACAAAGTCAACTGACAGTTATTGTTGGGGACAATAGCTTCACTGAAGTGTGGAAAGTCTTGATACCTTGACACCTTCTACAAACAATCCACCCACTACATCTTTGTTTGTTTCTTGGGTATAATTTATTTTAAGCATACCTTAGCATAATTATCTTGACATTTTTCTATATTTTTCTATATCTTGTTATTGTCTTTCTGTTCCAGTGTATTACTACATATACACTATATCTGTGTATGTGTGTATACAGTATATATATTTATAATTTTTTTTAATTGTCTCACTAGCTTTTGAATTATCCTTGTATATCGTAGCCATCTTGATGTTACATGCAAAGGGAGAAGAAAATATTTGAACTTAAGTAGTAAAACTTTCCATATTTTGTTTTAATTAAATATTAGTAGGGGCTGAGGATGAAATCTCCATCAAAGAGGCTGTGGAAATGATCACAAAGGCTTTAGACTTCACCGGGGAAATACATGTATCCTTGAAAAATATTATGATATAATGACTCCTGCCTAAAGTCTCGCTGCTGGATTACAGAAATGTCAAACTAAAAATGTGTTCAACCTTTGACACTTCGCTTCAGTATGACAACACTATGTCTGATGGGCAGATTAAGAAAACGGCAAGCAATGCCAAGCTAAGACGTTACCTCCCTGACTTCACCTTCACACCCCTGGATGAAGGTGAGAATGTTAGGGGCACATTAAATAATGATTTACATGACATAATATGGATGTTTCGATAAACTCTGCTTCTCCATGTACATATATGCAGTAACTCACATGCACACATGAGTACCCAGCCCATTAACCTTTTTCTTGTTGTTTCCAGCCATTAAGATGACCTGTGAATGGTTCGTGGCCAACTATGACACAGCAAAAAAATGAAGGAAAGTGAACTACTTGTCATTGTGACAGCACGCCACAGCACACAATGAAATGTGACCTCTGCTTTTAACCTATCACCAAAGTCAGCAGCTTAAGTGCCCAGGAAGTAGTGTGTGGGGAGGCTTTTCTTTTTTGTTTGTTTGATGACATAAGCAAGTTGAAAACTCTGTATCTAATTTAATTTACATATATTTACTATATAAAGACAAATGTTTAGCGCGCTTACGTAGTACAAGTTATCACTTTAGCTCCTAAAATTATATATGTATATATATGCAGTATATGTATGTGTGTGTATAATTATACAAGTATACAATTTTATATATATATATATATATATTATAAGGGTGTGCCTTGGCTGAATGCTCCTTTCATATTAAATGATTCGGAATCCTGCAGCGTGAGAATACTCACATCATAACCGACTGAATTAACCAGTTATTTAATGAAATTATAGCAAACTGTATGAAATTATTTTGTTTTTTCCATATTGTAACCTTGGTCAAAGTACACATATAACAGACTTTTAACGTTTTACTTGGTGGTTTACATGTAATCATAAAAAAAATGTAAATAAAAATGTGGGGTTCTTCTATAGGCTCTCTTTTACATTTTATGTAATTATTTTTTAAATTGACTGAATGTATGGCTGTTTCACCAAAACAAAACACTCATGTTTTACTGTACACTCTTTTATAAATTATATTTTATAAAACTTTATAATTTTTTTTCATACGTTTAATCATTTTATTCAAAATCAAACAGGGAAAATGATGAAATACTTTGTTATTATTTTTTCCCACCAATAGTCCTTTAAATTGTTTTAGTATCCAAAGTGAACACAGAACTTTAGTCTGGAAGGTTTCTACAGATGACAGAGATGCGCCGCTGTCGAGGAACTCTATGTCCATTAAAGAATGAGTCCTCATCTTTTAGGACCTCGTGGGTGAAGTCATATCGCGCCTGGTCCCTGTAAAAAAAAGAAAGAATAAAACATAAAAAAAATCACCAAATTGTCTGTTGTTGGCATAAATTGCCTTAAATGTGCTTCACATACATACAGTATAAGTTCTCAACTATCAGTAATATTTTTATTTTCTTAACTATGCAACATTTCTACATTTTGTGCATTTCTTTTTTATCTTTAGCCACGGGGTATGAGCTGCTTTAACTGGACGAGCGACTTTCCAAGACACTTTTTAATCAACGTGTTCCAGTTAAAATGTCAGGTAAAAACCAAACTGTTGTTGCACAGAACACCGTCATTTTATTGTTTGTAACAGTACCTGAGTTACATTTAAATGCAAAACAAAAAACAAAAAACGTATACTTATTTATACTCAACCTTAGTATATAAAGGGAGCGACGAGGCAACATCAGGTCCAGCCATTCACTGTTGGAATTTTCCTTCACCAAACGCATGACACTATCTGACAGGAGACTCAAACCAGCAATGGTGCTGCCACAAAACTGAGGCAAAGGGACAAACAAAACATGATGAACTTTATCTTGGTCTTGTTCTTTATACACACATATTTAACAATACAGAGACAGAAAATGTCTCAGTACCTTAACACTGTCAACATGAGGCTTGATGTACCCACTTTTGTCCAGATCTAGAATGTGAACAGGTCCGAGGAGTGAACTTCCCTCATTAAATGCTACAGATCGGACCCGACTCAAGATCTTCTCACACTCTGGGGACCACCTATCCCGCTCAGTCTCTCTGTAACCGTGAATAGCCTGAAGGTGGAGGAGTAATAAAACATCAACAACAACAACAAAAAGTAGGCTTACAATATACAGTCTTATATGTATGAACATTACATGATCAGTATAAAAGCACAAAGAAGGTACTATATGAACAACAAAAGACAAGTTGCATGACAGCTGTATCGCTTACATCGTCCCAGTGGTCGCTTTCGTAGCGTTTCTTCTTCAGACCTGGTTCTAATTCTCGTAGAAACGCCTCCTCTTCCTCCTCCGTGATGAAGGACGTCCTCACCTCCACATGGGAGACGAGTTTCTGAACCAACTGTGGACTGGAGCCGCAAATTTGAGCCCCATTCTGGTCAGTGAACAGGCCGCCGGGAGCACAGGAACTCAGAAGGCGCTGAAGGCAAGTGTAAACGGGTGGTTTTCGAATTTGTCTTAGCACAGTTAGGAACAGTTTCGTCATTATCATAAAATATTACACGTTAAATTCGCAAATTGATATTTTAGTTCCTTGGTAAGCATTTACGTTTTTTGACAGAAGTCAAACTGTTACGAGAGACGCCATGTTGAAAGCGCAATGCATTTTGGGGAACGTTGTCCCGAAGAATTAATAAACGATGTTTAAAATGTTGTTTAAAATGTATACGATGTTTTTTAAAAAACGTATACACATATGGATTTAATTAATTATGTACGTAGACAACCTACAACGTACCACCACTTTACATTCCTATAGCAATTACATTTCTGTTTCGTTTCTAAAGTGTCTGCGGTGGTTATCACACGAAGTGAAATTTGTTTTCCTTGAAAGAAAAATAATTTTGTAATTCCACATTTCATATTTGCCTTAACCTAATGTCTTTTTTCTATTTATCTTCTATCTATTGCTTGTTTTTGCGAAAAGAATCACGAGGCAAGACAAACAATGTATTGTTGCACTTCTTGATTATAGCCACTAGAGGGAAGCCAACATTCATACTTCCAAACAATGGTTAGATTGAAAATTTGAACGTGCATTTGTCATACTGTCGAAAGACCTCTGTTGTTGGCACGGTTTATTCTATATGCCTTAACTGACATAACCCCCACCCCCGACACGACGTGGCCGAGAAAAAGATGTGCTTGTCGTATACTGTTTTTTGCACACCTAAATTCAAATTGCTAACCAGATGAGGCTGTCCATGTTTCCGGAGTAAGTTGAGATGTAGATTCATATCCGGTGTCAAAAATATGCTACTGCAAAAACAAAAATATTGTAAGCCATATTTTTTTCATAGGCATGTATATACTGTTTTTTGTCTACATTTGGTTGGTGAAGGGCGAGTGCAGCAGGAAGGAGTGCTTAACATGCATACAGCTCTTTTAATTATTCAGCTTTATAAATCATTGAGTCACTAAAAATCATTTCAGGTCCCTGCCTCAGAGCTCCTGCCTACATCTAACCACTGATTGAACATCTGTCAGATAAACAATTGGAGGGTTATAAGATCATTTTAAAAAGTTTCTATGATCACTAGAAATAATACATTTTATTCCAAATCTATTAAAACCCCTGTTATGCAATCACATTGATTTAAAAACAAAAACAAACAAACATATAAACAACAAAAATGCTGAGATACCTAAATGATTACCGGTACAGTATTACTAGTTTATTCCACTTTTTAAGGGAGAGGATATAAAGTTATTTAATGTAGTTTTAGAACACATTTTCTTTGCGTTGTCCAAGACTGGCCAAGAAAAAAAAGGGGAAATATTTTATTTATTTTTAGGGATCTCTTATTGCAGCCTCTCTCGTGCATTTGTCCTATGTAACGTTCCCTTTCCCACAAATAATAAAAGCTTTTAGAACCTAACTGTAAAAGCCAGCAATAAAAGCCGAACTAAATAAAATAAATTCTTGTAGCGCCGTTGTTTCCTTGTACTAGAATTGACAATTTAACGTGCGTCTGTCATGTCGAAATAAGCATCGACATGGTGCCAAATCTTTTTATGTAGCACTTGCACTCAACACTGGTTGGTTTGGAACAGCTCATAATGTAAATCATTCTGGGCCGGAACGTGCAACAGGAAGTCGTAGTCTTAAATCTGCAGCGATGCATAGAGCATGCGCAGTCCGATATACAGTATATATACACACAAAAAAACTTTATATAAGTTATTTACTTAATATAAGTAATACTTGACCTATAGTCAACAACAACAATGTGATAGTATGTGAGATAATCATTAAACAAAAGTTACTCATTATGAACGTCTCCCTAAAGAGTTCTCGTCACGTGACGACCCACACAGGACCATAATGGTTTGGAACTAATCAACGCAAGTTCACCCCTAACGGTCACCATATGTAATCCACTAGTTAAGGTCACTGATCGGGCCACGAGGCCAATTTGTTTGAATGAATCAGCTTATTTTTACCTGTAGTGTTCACAAATATTCGTTTTTTCTGACTTTATTTCGTCTGTTTTTCCCTTTCACTCTACATCTGATTGTGGATTGTTACATACGATGGTTTCTCTGGTTTCGCTAGCCATGGTGCTGAAATGACTTTGTTCTGGTATTTATGATTGTGACGTAGCAATCAGCTCTATAGTACACGGCATTGTGGGTGCTGAAGTGGTCATTGGTGGTATAGTTAAGGTTCGAGATATATGATTCTTGAACTCTGGTTTCTGGTTTAGTCAAAAAAGTAGTGATATGATTCGTCACCTTAGTATGTTACAGGTATCTTACTGACCTTTCTCTCTCCTCTTTTGTTGGTTTTGATGATGAGGTTGTTTCTTTTTTGTAGCTGTGTGCCCTTGCAGTGGGTCAGTCTCATACCCACTGCCGGAAGCAATTGTTAAGTGGACACAAAGCAAAACGATACCTTTCAGGCATATCAGATAGACGCTAGAGGTTGTGCTGTTATCGATTGGCCTTCGCACGTGCCAGATTTGTCTCTTGGCTGAATCTCCATGCGGAGGTGAACTATTTCTCCCGGTCACCCTTAATTCTCGGTACTGTTTGCGAATAATCTCTAACCATTCGCAGAGGCTGCTGTTTCTGGACAAATTCGATTAGTTTACATCACAGAGTCACACAATGATTAAATAACCTGCGACGTTTTTGCTTCTTCTCTAGTGTTTGTCACTGCACCTCTATACGTATATCATAATGTAGTTTGAGTGACTCAGGGGATACGATACTACTCATGTGTTGCAGTGACTAATCATCCTGTGTTTAATCAAGAAAATGATATGCTTTTTTTTCAAACTCTCACCACTGTCCCTTAAGATACTACTGTTTTTGTTCGGTGTATAATGTCACTGAAAATATTTGTACCGGGCTGCGATTTGGTGCAAAGCGTATGGTCGCACTTGCAGGCGCCACCGTTCTGGTGAAACGACGAGATGGAGAGGGGAAGAAAAGAGGTGGAAAAAGATCCACAACTCGTTTTCGGTGAAGGGAGGGGGAGGAAGATTGCAGGGAGGAGGGAGAGTTCTCATCGTCCATTAATTTCCAAATGTCTGTTGCTAAGAATAGCCTCTACCCTCCACCTCCCCGTGTCTGTTGCTAAGAATAGCCTCTACCCAACCTCTACCTCTACCTCTACTCTAACCAATACAGGCGGACTTGCGCTCGTACTCTCTGACGCTCGTCTACTCACGGCACCGTGCGCGCGCATTGACGGTTTTTGGCTGCAGCTGCATCTTTGCAAAATGCCAGTACACCCCAAGTCACCCATCCCAGAATAAAAGAAAACACATCCGGTCAAGCAAAGCTAGGACTGTGTATTGACAGTATTCATCAGGACAGACACAATAGCTGATGTCACCTACAGCGGGTTACATTTAAGCATTAAATGGAAATGGTGTGCAGCCAGAGGACCAGTCCACCAGGGCTGGGCTTTACGCCTAATATACCCATATATACGTATAACTATACAGTATTAAAACAAAAACGCGGTACAGTGCCTCCATCTGTGACCCACGTCTGGAACTTGGATGAGCTGCGTGCGTCATGTGCTGCAGCTGCAGAACCGACCAATCTCTCGTTACATAGTTAAAAATGGACCGAAAGGCGACTAATCGGTGCGGGTCCTGATATGTTTTATTTTCGCTTTTTTCAAGCCAGTGTTACACAGAGTTATCAATTTACTGACTGATCCATCCATCCATCAGTCCGTCTGTCCCTTACCTGTTCCTACTGGGAGGAGAAGAGAGAGAGGAGGCCAGAAGGCACGCGCTACCCGACTTCAACGAAGAGAGAGAGAGAGAGAGAGAGAGAGAAAGAGAGAGAGAGGGAGAGAGAGAGAGGACGCGCTGCCAGGACATTTGGGTCTATCATTGCGGACGTATGTAGATCTCTCTGGGTGGTGATGGTGAGGGGCTTTTCTCGACACAACATCAGCTTCAAAAACTGAACCACGACCATGAGAGGGTGTATGACGGAAAAGCGGCCGCCGTACCCTTGTCTTTGACGACACCGTCTGTGTGTCCCTTCTCCAGCTCCATCGTGGATGGCCGCTCAGGTGACGGACAGAGGATGACGCTCACAGCCGAGCAGGAATCTACATATTTCGCCTGAGACAATTGACATTTTTTTTCACAGCGCAGAGACAACAATGACATTACAGAGGAAAACGGTATTTCTCCTTCCCTTGTTACCTCGAGACTGTCTGTTTCCAAATTAGACGCGTTTAACGAATGCAACCGTTCTAATTGTCTCAGGGCTGGTCAGAGCGCACTGGTTAAACAGCTGTACGGCACAGGAGCCACCGTATTACAGCCCATCGTACCAAACATTGCGGATATTTGAAAAATAATTAAATAAAAAAATGTACAGCTCATATTAGATCAAATTCTTGACGCATTTCACCTGTTCAGCAAAGCGACACCCCTTAACTGTCACCTGCAACGATGGATTTATGAGAATTTAAATTATATTCAAAAAAAAATCATCAAACTCACTGCTTGGTCGTCTGTGGTATTTCGACATTAACATGATAACGGTAAATAATTAAGTGGTTCCACAGACAGTGCTGCGGTGAGGCTGTGTTACATGCCGGATCCTGAGAGAGCGTGAAACATCCATGTTAATGCACAACAGCCTCTCCATGATTTCATGTTGGGGGCGAAACCTGTTGTATACGGACACAGGGACGGGCTGAAGGCTCTCCCAGCAGCACTGTAGTGCAGCCAGCCAGCCAGAGCGACCGCACATTCAATTTCCTCACACCCACAAACGGCAGTTGGCAGAGGCGCACAGAGTAGACGGTACATGGGCGTCCTGCTCTGATAGAAGCAGAAGCTGAACTGCTCTCCGCAGGTGCAGGTGCTCAGCAGAGGCTCGCAAGACCACCCGTTGTGCATGAGACGTTCTGATCCGGATGGGATGTAATGTTGTGTGGCTGCACAGCTGAGCATTGGTCTCCTTCTCCGCTGCTTCGTGAAGATTGGCTTTCGGGGTCTAAAGAATGGCACGGTTCGGAGACGAGGTACCCGCCAGGTATGGCGGAGGGCCCGGCGGCGGGGGCCCCGGTGGTCGCGGTGGCAGCAGGCAAGGAGGCGCCCACGGACACGGTCATGGCCACGTACACGGACACGGACAT